GATCACACTCTTTAAAATGTGTTGAAGTGGGAAATACCCGCTCATTTAACGCACTACAGTGATGATGATGAGGAGCACACGGGGATGCTGAGGATCTGCACTGGAGCACACGTCAGAGTCACTCGGGAATCAGTCCTGTCCTCTTGATAGTGTCTCCACACGCTGTGAGCATCTGCTGGTGTTGAGCTGTGGATCAGCACACAGCTCAGGCTCATTCTCCTCTGCCGGATCAGGAGTGTGTCCCTCAGCTCTGTGCTGTTGTCCTGCTCTGTGTGCACTCGGCATTTCCATTCAGCATTTTAACACAGCGTCTCTAAATTAGCAGAACACGGCTGTCGGGAAACACGGCCAGCGTCTGTTTACTGCAGCAATATGAGGCAAATCAACACACAAACACTTAATTAAGGCCCAAACAGGAGCATGAGGAACTTCACAGAGCTCTCCTCCATTCCCGGAGAGCAATCAGCGTTCAGCTCCTGACAGTCTGAAGGGTAAAATAAGCCGTAATGCGACAGCGCTGCTCCCTCGCTCCTAAAATCCTCAATTACAGAACAGCAGAGAATGTTTTAGGATAAAGAGCTGCTCGTAATGACCGCGCTGGCATTTCTGAAGGAGACGTCAGACTGTCTTCTGCTGCTGTTTCACTGAGTAATTGGCTGAGGAGAGGAGAGAGAGAGAGCTAATGATCCTGCAAACAGAAGAAGAAGAAGAAGAAGAAGAAGAAGAAGAAGAAGAAGAAGACTCGCCATACAGATAATGAAGCAGCGACACACACACACACACACACCGGGTCCTCCATCTCTGCGCTTGTTCAGTAGTAATATTCGAGTTACTCTGTGAAATGTGCCGTCAGTCATTCTAGAGTTTCAGCAGTGAGTGTGTAGAGCAGCGGTGTCCAAACTCAGTGCTGGAGGGCCGCTGTCCTGCATATTCAAACTCCAACCCCAATCAGACACACCTGAAGCGGCGTCAAGCTCTGACTAGGTTACTAGAAAGCTCCAGGCAGGTGTGTTAAACTGCAGGACAGCGGCCCTCCAGGACTGAGTTTGGCTGACGCGGGCTCTGACTCCAGCTCTGATGAGGGAACAGCAGCACACGGCTCAGCTCACACTACTGCAGTGCTGGACTATTCTGACTATTCTGAACACATGAAGAACAGCAGACGAGGACTACAGTGTCCACCACACTGAGCCCAACAGCAGACACACTGCGCTGCACTCTCAGACATGTGTGTGTGTACAGCATGCGGAGATCTGGGAGATCACAGGAGCCTGCATCAGTGTCATCATCATCAGATTTACTGAAGGTGGATGAAGATCCAAAAACAGAAGAGCAACGGCCTGCGAGTTCTGCTGGAGATCAAGCCTCAGCAGGCCAGAGAGAGTCGACAGCAGTGAGTACTGTGTGTGTGTGTGTGTGTGTGTGTGTGTATGACAGCATACAAACAGAGCAGACACAGAAATGAGGCCTTCAGAACCTCCAGAAGCTGAAGCAGGCGGAGCGGAGACACCGAACACTGCTGGATCAATAATCTATCTGTGCTGATCCAGAGACCTGTGAGAGCCGCAGGCCCGACTGTCCAGACTCCACATCCACACACTGAGGCTGACACACACACACACACACACACACACACACACACACACACACACACACTGCGTATTCTGGTCGACTTCAGCGGTACTGTGAGCATTCAGGACATTCATTACTGACATTTATTCTCCTTCAGCTTAGTCTCTTTATTCATCAGCGGTCGCCACAGCGGAATGAACTGCCAACTATTACAGCATATGTTTTACACAGCAGATGCCCTTTTAGCTGCAACCCAGTACAGGGAAACACCCATACACACTCATTCACACACACACACACACTCATACACTACGGTCAGTGTAGTTGATCAGTTCCCCTATAGCGCATGTGTTTGGACTGTGGGGGAAACCGGAGCACCCGGAGGAAACCCACACCAACACGGGGAGAACATGCAAACTCCACACAGAAACACCAACTGACCCAGCCGAGACTCAAACCAGAGACCTTCTTGCTGTGAGGCGATTGTGCTGCCCACTGCGCCACCGTGACGCCCTCTTAACATCTGTCAGTTTTCCACACACACACACACACACACACACACACACACACACACACACACACACACACACACACACACACACACACACACACACACACACACACACACACACTTGTACAGCCACACTGTAACACTCACCTGTCCAGCTGTCCTCAGCTCTGCACTGATGATGGAGAAGGTCAGAGGAGGAGCTGCGGTCAGACGACAGCACATGAGGAACAGAGGAGGAGCGTCAATATAGAGAACCACTGACAACTGATCCAGAGTCAGCTGAGCTGAGCAGATCTGCTCAACTCCTGCACGTGTGTGTGTGTGTGTGTGTGTGTGTGTGTGTGTGTGTGTGTGTGCGTTTACAGCTGATCTAGACTCGTCATCTTCAGGGGTGACCTCCTCAGTGCTGTGTGGACTCGGTCAGACACACGAGGGTCAGGGCAGAGTCTGCTCATCTGTCCTGCTGTTCTCAGATCTGTGTTCAGCAGATCTGGGTTTACTCCAGCGCTCTGACCTGAGGAGACTCAGACTCACATTAGCACTTCAAACGCAGAAAGCAGAAGCTGAATTAATGCAGGATAAAGAGAAGAGAGCGCCAGGAGACTCGAGACGCTCTGCCCAGAGGGAGACGAGTCCCAGCAGAGCTCCAGCATCCACTACACAAACCCGAGCTGAGGAAGAGGAGAACACATCAGCAGCAGCAGCACAGAGAACACGGATGACAGTAGTGAGTGGTGTTTGTTCTAATCAGACTTGATGCAGAAGCACTGATAGTCCACTAGTCTCCATCTCATTAGCATGTCCAGCAGGCCTGAGTGAGCAGCAGCCGTCTGTCCATTAGCCATTAGAGTGTTTGAGCTGCTGAAGATGATGTCAGCATAGACTAAGAGGATTATAGATGTGGAGGTGATGATGAACTGAGACAGGAGCCACATAGACTGACACAAGCATCAACACACACTCACACTGAAGCACACACACACACACACCTGACCAGCACTCACAACACACACACTGCTGTTTCACACCTGTCGCACAGCCGTCTGTAGCTCCACCCTCTTTTTAAATCTTATTTGCATTTAAAGCAACAGTCACCAAAACACCACAGTTAGGATCAAAGCCTGAACGGGTCAGTTTCAGAGAGGCAGAGGACATCATCTGTGTGCTGTTCTTAACTCTCACACACACACACACACACACACATTAGACTTACAGACCCTGTAAGGATGAGTTTAGCACCAGGACACAGAGTCTGTCCTCATAAACCACATCAATACTGTAACACTCAGATCAACCCATGCATTAACACACTTGTGTCCTCATAAAGCGATACACACACACACACACACACACCTAGTTTCTGTGTTTCAGTATTGCGGACACACACAGGCCTGCTCTGGGAACAGCAGCCCAGCGGCTCCGCTCTGACAGCAGGATCAGGGCCCCGGGGCCCCACTGACAGACAGGAGGGTCTGATTGCGGAGCTGCGCCATGAGGCCCTGTTCTCCTGACGTGGAGCTGCGCCATGAGGCTCATCTCAGTCTGACTGACACCTCTATTACCCACAATGCCATGCTGTTCCTACACACACACACACACACACACACAGCTCTGTGTCACCGTCACCAGCAGATGTGAACAGATTTAATCAGCCTCTTTAACCTGATCCAGAACTGCAGAAACTGACCCGCTCTAAACTCTGACAAATAAAGCAGATACACACACACACACACACACACAACAGATTCACAGACACCCACCCCCCCCTCCTCAAAAGGTCAGACTCATTGAGGGAGCAGAGGAGAGGAAAGCGGATCAGCGTTTGAAAGCGCCGCAACAAAGCCGGAGTTCAGGAGCGCTCCTGCAGTCCACAGCAGCACAGCGGGGGAGCGCTTTCATCTGTGCGGGACACACACACACACACACACACACAGGGAGAAACTCACAGAAACACACGCACGTATTTAAAAGAGCTTTATTGAGGCACTGAGTGAAGACAGAGGCACAGAGATCACCATCATCATCATCTTCATCACAATAACAATCTTCATCATCATCTTCATCTGTCGAGTCGCTCTGTCAGGAAGCTGTAGAGTGTTTCCTCAGGTTTTCCTCTCCCCGTTTTCTTACACACACACTCATAATACTCCAGCAGCAGACTGAACACAGAGCCTACACACACACACACACACACACACACACACAAACACACACACACACAGATGAACAAAATAGGGACAAATCTGTGTGTGTGTGTGTGTGTGTGTGTGTGTGTGCGTGTGAATCTCACCTACGGTGGCCTGAGTGTGTGTGAACAGTGTGTGTATGCGATGGACGTCTCTGAGCAGATCCACATCTCCAAAGGTAAAGTACATCAGGTCACGACCCGCTTCTGCTGCCGCCATCATCTGCAGCACAGCTACACACACACACACACACACACACACACACACACACACACAATTGTTAATGTGACTACACTAGCAGATGTCCAGTGGTAATAACACAAGTGTTCATATGAGAGTGTGTGTGTGTGTGTGAGTGTGTGTGTGTGTGTGAGTGTGTGTGTGTGTGTGTGTGTGTGTGTGTGTGTGTGTGTGTTAGGGTTAGTTTAGGGTTACCTTTGAGTCGAGTGTCTCCTCCAAAAACACCACAGCCCCAGTTCCCTGTCGCCACAGCGGACATACACTCAGCCGGAGTCCCGGGTCGCACAAATCCACAGAACGCCTGACACACAAACACACACACACACACACATTTGTTTTTGTGAAAAGTGGGGACATTACATAGGTTACATAGTTCAGTGTGCATATTTCACCTGCTTTTAGTAACACCTGTGTCACACCCATGTCATTATACAGATCTGTGTCCTGATATGTCACAAAAACACACACACACACACACACACACACACACACACACACACACACACACACACACACACACACACACACACACACAGACGTAAGCGTTGATCTATCAGCTGTAGGACAGAGCAGTGTGTGTGAGGGTCGATGTGTGTGAGGCTGTTCAGCTCATGAGGACTGAGATCTTCATGGATCTTCATGTGTGTGCAGCTCTCAGTTTATTCTGACTCCAGGTACCATCAGTTCAATTCAGATTCCTCCAGCTCAAGCGGATCACCTGATGAGTCGTGATCCGGTCTATTGTAGATGGATTAACCCAATAAATCCTTCTTCTCAGTTAAACAAGAGTTAAACAGGAGACACTACTGCACATTTACCCTAAACCAGCGCTGTCCAAACTCAGTGGTGGAGCGCCGCTGTCCTGGAGAGTTTAGCTCCAACCCTAATCAAACACACCTGATCCAGCTCATCTAGCTCTGTGTAGGTGTACCAGAAACTTCCAGCAGGAGTGATGAAGCAAGTCAGAGCTCAACTCAGCAGGACACCGGCTCTTTTTACCGTTGACTGTAGGCCTGTTAATAGATCCAACACCATCATCAAATTTGCAGATGACACCACAGTGATTGGTCTAATCAGCAACAATGATGAGACGGCCTACAGGGAGGAGATACAGCATCTGGCCACTCAGTGCACCGACAATAATCTGCTCCTTAACACCAAAAAGACCAAGAAGCTCATTGTGGACTTCAGAAAGGGACGAACATGATCCCATCCACATCAATAGGATGGCTGTTGAGCCTGTCTCATCCTTTAAGTTCCTGGGGACCCACATCTCAAAGGACCTTTCCTGGACCACCAACACCTCCAGCCTGATCAAGAGGGCTCACCAGCGCCTATTCTTCTTAAAGACACTGTTTGCGCTGAGCACGCAGTATTCTGAAGGACACCTCTCACCCCGCTCACAGACAGTTTTCTCTCCTGCCCTCCGGCAGACGCTTCAGGCTCCCCCGCACAAAAACCAGCAGACTGAGGAGCAGCTTTTTCCCCAGAGCTGTCTCCCTCCTGAACTCTGCCCCCCACTGACTCTTTTGCCCCCCCCCGCCCCAATACACCCCCCAATACACCCCCCACTCTCCTCTAACTTAAACTCCTCGCAATAACTGCACTGTTTAACATTTGCACGTTTAAAATTTGCACATATTCACTGCACCACATTGAACTCTTTACTTATTGAACTGTACATACCCACTGCATATGGGCATTTGTAACTATGTACACACCCACTATACATATACACTTGTAATCATGCTTATTTATCTGCATACTACTGACTATTAATAGCAACCTGCACATATATTCATATATTGTAAATCTGTTCATAGCTTATCCAACCTGTATATAATGTTCATAGTACATCCATCTGTAAATATCACCATAGTTTTCTATAACTGCACTTTATAACTTATTCCTGTATCCTGCACTTGCTGCTGTTGCACTGCTGGTTTGACCTAAACTGCATTTCGTTGCATTGTACTTGTACATGTGTAATGACAATAAAGTTGAATCTAATCTAATCTAATCTCTCCAGGACCGAGATTAGACCCCCCTGCCCTAAACACTCAAATCAGCCTCAATTCAAGACTGTTAAAGCTTCAACAGAGGCATCGCCTGCTCATGAGCTGATGAGAAGAGCAGATCCCCTGCAGTGGAGCATCTGCCAAAGATCTGATCCATGTCAGAACCCAAATGTGCTGAAGAAGGAGAGATGATGTAAGATATTAGAGTAATCTAAAGCCTAGTTCACACTACAGGATTTTAAACATCAGCAGATCGCTGTGCCGTTCACACTACATGACTTGACTTTGTGTCTTTTAATCTCTGTGGTGTTCACACTACGCAACACTCAGTGAACGATCCACAAGAGGGGGGTCACACACTACATGATCTGACAACAACTCATTCCCCATCAGCTCATTCAAGCTACCAAACCACAGCCAATGAAATGTTGAGGGAGGAGTCGTCAGAAAAAGCTGAACACTATTGGCTGCTTGTGTGCTGATGACATCACTGACAGCGTTTCAAGCTTTGGAGAAAGCATTTAAAAACATCATCAAATCAGCTGATTTATCAGCGGATTAATCACTCATCTGCAGGCTCCAGTGGAGAGATACACAGAGAGTTTTTAATTTTTGTAATTTTATAACTCTTTGAAATAAAACTAACATATTTATAACACCCTGCCGCTTTCTAACTATCAGTGTATTTCTTTCTGACATTGTTATTATTTTATTACAAAACAGTAAAGAACTGAGCATTTCTGCCTTAAATTACCATATTGGTCAGAATGACTGCATGCATGTCTGATACTTTTCGCTGTGACTTTAAATATGTGTGCATTTTCTTGCCTGGCAACTTCCTGCTAACATAAACAAAACTTTCTGATGGCAAAAACATCAATTTACTTCAGATATCTTTCAAAACAGCAGATTCTGTGCTGTGAAATAGCTCCTGTTTGAAAGTGAAAATGAAAGGCAAGCCTTTAAGTGTTTTAGTATCTTAACTACATATTTATAGGCTGTATTACCAAAGAAATATTACATTTTTAGGCTAATGGTGTCATTAAATATGATGCCAGACATTCAAAGCTTAATTTTAATATCTCAATAATAGCTTTGAATGTAAATATGTTGTGACAGCATGACGTTTTATATGAGAACGGTCAGAATGAGCAGTATGGTAATTCTAATAGTTACAGAATTCTAGTTCCACTGTTGATATATCCTCCTCTCATGTCTGTGCTAACGCAGAATGAAGCGAGTGCAGCGATGCCCATTCTGACCAATCACAGATGTTTCTGCTGAACACACAGGCATTCAGCTCATGCTGATCTGCTCTCTCATTGGCTGCAGCTCGTCACTACACATGACCACACGTGGGGTTGAGTCGGCCGACTGCTCTGGAATATTCAGCATGCTGAATGTTGGATTTCCGTCTGCGAGGTGTCGGCGACGCGTCAGCGAGGCTCGTTGATGGGTTGTTCAGTAGTTCACACATAAAGAGCGGCGAGCGCCGAGCACCCGCAGATTTCTTCCCGATCACAGCCCGATCTGTCGGCGAGCTCGTTAACTTCCAAATCGGGCTCAAATCAGGCTTAAAATCCTCTAGTGTGCACTAGGCATAAGAGCACTTCACCAACCACACAGAGACATTTACAACCACACCAAACATGAACACAGAGCCTCACACACACCGAACTAAACACTGCTCATCCTGTGTGGAGTGTGAGTGAGCCGCTGTGGTGGAGAAGGTAGAGCTGAGGGCAGAGGATGCATGACCAGACAACCTGAACCGCTGCGCTCCTCATCTTCTGCTCACAGTAGACAGGGTACTGTTTTAGTGCCGGACCATTCTCACGGTCATATCTCATGTGCAGTTCCAGAACTGCTGCCAGGGTTTAATATTACACACACACACACACACACACACACACACACACACACACACACAGAGAGAGAGAGAGAGAGAGAGAGAGAGAGAGAGAGACAGACTGAAGGAGAAACACCAAAGCCTCCATTAGCTGAGCTGATCTCATGTGATGTGCAGAACTCTGCAGTATCTCCATGCTGGAGCACTGATCTACTGTCTGATCTGACCTGCCATTCCTCAGACAGACAACATCAGGTCTCTAGAAGCACTCGCCACAGCCTCCTCACAACATCTGCATCTCCCTCAGCTCTCCTGCTCCAGGTGTTGGAGACTCTGCTGTTCAGTGTGTGTGTGTGTGTGTGTGTGTGTGTGTGTGTGTGTGTTTATTGCTGATATTCAGCAGGCTCTTCACTCTGACTCTATCAACTCTAGTGTGTTTGAGCATCATCATCATCTTCATCATCATCATCCTCATCATCTTCATCCTCATCATCTTCATCCTTATCATCTTCATCATCATCACCATCATCCTCATCTTCATTATCTTCATCATCATCTTCATCATCATCTTTATCATTTTCATCATCATCATCATCTACATCTACCTCATCATCATCATCATAATCACCATCATCATCATCATCACCATCATCATCTTCATCATCATCATCTTCATCATCATCCTCATCTTCATCAGTTCTGCAGTAATCAGAGCTGAACTATTCCAGAGCAGTGATGGAGGATCAGAAGATCAAAGCTCAGATCAGAGACAGACGCCCTCCTGCTCCTCTGCTCATTACTGACACACACACACACACACACACACACACACACACACACACACACACACAGCAGCTGCGGCCCATCCTACACATCCACTGTGACCCAAACTGTCCACCCCTCTGCAGCGCCGCTGTGTGCTGGACTCTGCCCTCACCTTGTTCAGCTCTCTCCTCAGGCAGTCGGGCTGGAACTGCTGGAGGAAACTCCTGTACTGCAGAGCATCAATGGCCACGATCTCTGTGTGTCTGCGCAGCCACTCATCTCTGCACACACACACACACACACACACACACACACACACACGCTCATCAGCGGCTCTGACACACACAGCTGGCGTGTGCAGCACGGGCCTCACCTTGGCGTCTGGTCGTCATGGTTTCCAGCCCACCGGTAGGTGTTGGCGTATCCAGAGTACCTGCTGAACTGCTCAGCACCTGTAAACAACAGCAGAGTCCACATGAGCATCCCATAATGCACTGCTGTATGTCTGATCAGTGCTGGACTGATGCTCAACAGTCATCCAACACTCCCCTACACCACAGTGTGTCACACACGCCAGATATCAGCTCACAGACACACCGAGCAGAGCTGGGAGTGTACAGGAGTGTGTGTATGTGTGTGTGTGTGTGTATGTGTGTTTTAGAACAAACACTCATTCTACACAAACTCTTGTGCGTCCTCGTGTTGTTCCTCTGGTCAGTGTGAGCACTCCTCGCTCTGCTTACTCCTCTGCTTTGCCACGCCCCCACACAGCTGACCACGCCCCTTTAAGATGCTCTGATGTTGAGAGTTCTGAGGGAAAGTGGACCTGAAGGGAATCATGACCCATCATCATATACAGCGCCTCTGCTATCCTCAGACCAGCGCTACGATGCTTCAGTCTCAGATGTGCGTCTGATGATGTGTGTCTGATCATCGGCGTCTGATCATCGGCGTCTCTGAGAGCTTCTGCTAATCTAATAAGTGAATCCCGGTAGCGCAGGCCCGTCCAGCCATCGACCCGCCGTAAAGGCCGAGCCTGCGCAGATAAGCTGATTGTCTTTATTGGGAAGAAACGAGATAAGCACATTCCTGCTGGGAAGAATTCAGCTGCTGTGACCTTCAGGAGAAGAGCCGGGCTTTGTGTGCGTCTGTGAAGAGTGTTCAGTGGAGATGCCGCGTCTCTGACAGCCGGAGGAACCTGTAAAGGTCATTAATGCATCTCATCTGCAGCAGAATCAGCCGCTCCATCTGCCTAATGCCAGCGCTTTGTTTCCTGAACCATTCAGATCTCACCGCACTCCTGGACATGCAGACCACCGGCCCACACGTCTCTCTGTGTGTGTGTGTGTGTGTGTGTGTGTTTTAGACACTGTCTTCCACAGTATTGTGCAAATGCTCTCTCTCTCTCTGCCGTTCCTCCTCATGATCCAGGCTATCACAGTTCTGCATTCGTCATCAGTTGTAGTTGTTAATGGATTTGGACTGGTTGTTTTCAGACCCGGTCAGTTTCATCAGATGTAGAGGCAGGTTTACTCGCTTATATCAGTTTCTATGTTTTGAAATGGCTTCTTTTCGTTTCAGCTGTTATTAGTTTCAGTCTTAGTTTTAGTGTTGTTTGTAATTTAGGATATTTGTTTGCTGCAAGATTCAAAATCATCAGATTAACTCTCGTATAATAAAACTCAGGCAAAGATAGTCGTATTGAAAGACGTAATCAGAGCACACATGAACATCCATCTGCCCATCCTCAAGCTCAGATACAGCCGCCCGCAGGACAGCAGCCCTCACTGCAGGCTGTGTGCACGGCTGCTCTGGGGTTACACACACAGTAGTGATGGGAAGTTCTGATATTTTGTGCCAATCCTGCCAGGTTAGGACTGAACATATTAGAAGTGTGCAGTCAGCTATCATCATATCAGTCAGATAAACATCAGCATGGTGTGAGGAGAGTCTCGCCGTGAAGCTCTGCAGCCGACTGAAGCAGGACTCGCTTATCTAAACTCCAGTATGATGAAGTCCTGCAGATCCGCTCATTAGCCCTGGCTGTAGCCGCGCTGCAGTTGATCCGTGTCGTTCAGTCGCAGCAGGCTGTCGTGTGCTGTTTGTGTTCGCTTCACTGAATCACGCATGCGCAGTATTATCAGCTCCCCGCTTCTCAAGTCTGATCTCAGTGTGAAGATAACCAGCCTACTGTTCTAATAACTCAATAACTCAGGAGAGGGGTTTATCTCGAGTCAGAGACAGGTCCGCTTGTTAATAAGGTAAGTAGTGTGTGGATAAGAGCACTTAACGGAGGCGGGAATCATTTTAACTGGCTCAGTTGGATTTGGGGAATTAGTTCACCGGTTCACTTAGAAGATCCGGATAGAATACAGATTCACTCACGATCACTCATACGGAAATAAAGCCCATCACTAAACTGTTAAATGAAGACTCCTGAGCGTCTGCCTGGGTCGTGTTTACCGCTGGCACCGCTGCGGTCAGGTCCAGCCGCTGCTTTTGTCGCAGGAGCAACAGCGAGGCCTGATTGGAGGAGGAGCGCCTCGATCTGGCCAATGGC